CCCCGGACGGCGTCACCCAGAAGGGACAAAGTCTTTCGGCAAAGCAGCCCTCCGTTTTCGTGACTGTAGGATGCGATCCCGTCGGACGGGACCCGGCTGCTGACTCCCCAGTACCGTGACAGCTAGAAAATGAGCAGGAGGAAAGGATACGGCGGATGGGTTTGGTGTCCGCTGGCTTTCCCGGTGACGATCGCGCTAGCTGTGTTTTCTCTCGGGTAGGTCTGTAACAGTTGCAGTGAGATCCAGCTGTATAGTCAGGAGTTGGACACGAACGCATCTTGCTAAAGAATTGAGCCCTTAGTGGTTTATATTAGAAAAAAGAGTTTGATTGAATGAAAATCCAGCAATTATTCACACAAATCTGAAAAAAACGCAGATTAACTTTCAACCATTGTGCTTTGTGTCCAACACGCACCCCACCAGACTTCGCGTAGAGCAACCAGCACGGGGTGAAGGCATTTATTCGCAGAGGTCCCAGCGGGTACAACAGCTCTTCCCCTAAGCCCTTGGTTAAACACCGTTAATCCCGGTAGAAGAGTTATCTTGAATTCCCAAGACTAAAGCAAAGTACAACCACCAAAGAGCTCGCGACAGCTCACCGCGGACCCACCTTTGCAAGGAAGGCGGAGGACGAGCAGGCACGCCGGCTTGCTTTTCACTAGATAAGGCGGAGCTGGCACTTCGGTTTTAGCTAGACTTCTTCTGGGTAACCCTGAATATACAGCAACCTTTGTCCGAGGGGACTGAATCGCTCCAAAGTTAGTAGCCACCCTGGTTCCGGACCTAATCCAAGTATGGCTTAGGCATTTGTCATACGCACACACAAATGTTCACACTAGCCAAGCGGTTTTCTTTACAGCCAGGTGAAAGAAAAAAACCAAAAAGTTCAGTGCTCGGACGGACCCACCTGCGGGCACCGGTGCCAGGCGGCAAGACGGACGGACAGACGGACGCCTGGGTTTGTCGGGAGCTGGCGCAGCCTGCGCCCTCCCAAGCAGTGACGCAGAGAAGGCGGCTCAGGCTGCACAGCGCCTTCGCCTTTGGAGATGGATCCCAAGGGATCTCTTTGTAAAACCCTCCCTTTCCTAAGTGCTTCAGATGCCCAGTAAAGACGATTTTCAAAGCCCTCCAATGCCATTCCCAGCCTGTCTGGTGGGGACCCCTGCAGAGCCCCCCACCAGGCGCGTGTCCCCTCCCCTGGGACCAGAGCATCCTCCCCGCCCGGGAGACAACACAAGAGCCGGTGAATCCCCGCGCAGGGACGTGGCAGACACCCACCCCCGAAGCTGGGAGAGAAGATTTCAGCTTTGCGGCGGCCGAGCCAGCTTTCGGAGCGGCTGCGGGCAGAGGACGAGAGACACCTGGTGGGAAGGTCGGCTCAATACAGGGGTCGGCTTCGGCATCGCCTACCCAAGGCGCCGCAAGAACCAACCCCGGAGGTTTCAATGTCATCGAGAACCTGGTTTCCTCGGTGCACCTAAGAATCCTACCTTGCTCGCACGGCAGCGGCTCACCAGCCGGGGAGGGGACAGAGGCGCCGGCTGGCAGCATCGTCCCACATCTTAATTACTCAAAGAGTAATTAAATACATAGCACGGACGGACAACACACCACCGTGTCTGCAATTCTGTGCATGCTCCCGCAACGCGGCCCGGGCTCGTCAGATCGAGATCTAAGATGACAGGGCGAGGGGACGTCAGGTGAGATCTGAGCCTCGTGCTCCACCCAGCCACGTGCACAGCAGCGCGCTTCACAACAGGACCACGCACGACAGCACAATACGAAACGACCTCTGCTTTTCATCCATGCCAAAGCCGAATCGTGACTTTGAGGACACGGGGGACTGTGTAAAGAACGGCTTTTCCACGGAGAGGTGTGCTCCTTACCCACCCGGGGACTGCAGCAGCCATCCTGCCTCAGCTGTCCCTAAGAGAATTGCTGGGGAAGCGCTTTAAAATCACCGCAAATAATTTTGTATTTAAAAATTACTCAATCTGTTGATGCTTATATACAAGAGTCAGTTCTTGTGCTATAAATGTTATGATTCATTGCTTCGTTTCTTTTCTTTTTTCTTTTTTTTTTGAAAAATACACTAAGAGACAAGAGCTGTTTTGCTATTTTCTAATGAAGACACTACTCACGCTTAAATATCCAGTATTTATCATAGTAACAAATTCAAACAGTAAAGTGCACCCATTTACAGAGAGAACAGATGGAAAACCATTAGTGCAAGAATCCTGTGAAAAATGTTAACACGTGGTATCGTGAAAAAACCTGCACGCCGCAGTATTTAAGCCTTCTTTCAGCTTGGTGTTTGTGTTAAAAGTGTGAGCTGCTTTCTTTTTCCCTTAAAACATCTTCATAAACCCAAAAGTTATACACAGAAGTGCTGTGAGGGGACAGTACCGGGAGCACGTGGCAGTGAATAGCGAAGCAAAGCACGGGCAGTTCTCACATCGCTGCTCTCGGACTGTCCCGTTTGCATCTCAGCGGAGAGAACTGGCGCACAGCCGTAGCGCATCTCACTCGGCCGTATTAAATAGGGACGGGGCTGAATTTGGTTACTTTTTCCTTTCAAAGAAGCAACTAAAGGTAGGAAGCCACTCACTCGTTCGGGAAAGCTGGAGGATGGGAGGCGTTGAGCAAAGCGACTGCTGCTACTCCAGACCCACGGATACATGTGTCCTAGCTACAGGTGCACTGTATGTGGAGCAGAAGAAATCGGTTATTCCTTACAAAGCAGAACACGCTGCTTCAAAAAGAGAGGAAGAAAAAAACCCCATCGTACCCCCTTTGCAAGGAGAGAAACAGCGCATGGGGCTGAGCGTCCCCGCGGCCGCGAGGAGCCCGCCCCACCGAGGGGTCTCCCAGTCTACCCCCCGCTTTACAGAGCCCTGTAATAAAGCACAGAGTCAGCACTGGGTTGCACCTCGAAAAGGAAAACACCAACCTCAATCCAAATACTGCCTCGGACAAATACCAAATAGCCCAAAAGAGCACAAAAATCTCCGAACCCCACAGAGGAGTCCCCCCCCGAACGCTCTCAACGTGTCTATGAGACACAAGCCTCCCTCGTCCCAAGGTGTGCACCTCCCAGTTTGCTCTGAGCAAATCAGGCAACGAAAGAGCAACGAGATGTGCTGATCCACACACAGAAAAAAAACCCAAGAAGCCCCATCAAAGCCAGGGTTTGCTAAAGAGTTTCGGGCCAAGTCCTTATCTGGTGTAAATGGATGTAGCTGCACTGATGTCGCGCTGGGGATTTACACCAAGGGAGGTTGGACCCCACGATTTGGTTCAAGAAGTCTTGCCATCTATTCGCATAGCCCTTTGGAAACACCGAAAGGTATCGCTCCTCCTGCTCAGCACTGAAACCGCTCTTAAG